GGTTACGACGACTGCTGGGGCCACGGCATCTTCCACTGCCTCTTCTGCCACGGCTTCGAAGAGCGCGGGTCCGCGAGCGCAGGCATCATCGGCGTCGGCATGCTGGCAAACGTCAAGATGGCCACGCATGTCGGCTACATGGCCCGTCCCCTGGCCAAAGAAATCATCATCTACACCAACGGAAACGATGCACTCGCGTCGGAGCTGTCGTCCCTGCCCGCATCACCATTCAAAGTAGACACACGGAAGATTGCCAGGCTGCGCATGGGCGAGAAGACCAATGTAATCATCACGTTCGAAGATGGCACTGAGGCCGCGGAGGGCTTCCTTGCTCACGCGCCCTACACCAAGCCCAACGGGCCGTTTGTGGAGCAGCTTGGGCTGGAGGTGGCGGAGAATGGTGACATCAAGACGTCGCAACCGTTTGGGGAGACAACCGTTCCGGGCGTCTACGCAGTTGGTGATTGTGGGAACATGATCAAGGCAGTTGCACCCGCAGCTACGAGCGGCTCGATGTGCGCGGCGGGCATGGTGGTGCCGTTGCAGAGTGAGCCTAAGATTGTTTTGGACGTTGAGGACGTGGAGAAGGTGTTAGGATAGACCATCGTTGAAGTATTATTTTCCAAGATCACATAGACTTATAGAATCAAAACATTCAAGTTCAGTTAGGAGTTTGAAATGGATCATTGAGTGCAAGAATCGAAGATTTGTTGAGCTCGACATAAAGTGGGCAAAAGGCAGCTCCTTCCCGCCTATATTAAGCGAAGTAAATGTAGAAATTGGTAGAGCCTAGGTGATTTTGAAAGGGCCAAGGTCTCACGGCATTCCACGAGCTTCCATCTAATCTGCATCACGGATATCTCAGCAACACTCACACCTTGGAGCTCCTGCCTCGCGTAGCTTGTCGTCGGCTTCGGTACACACGCCCCATGTTCGAACCCCTTGTGTCTTTTGATAAACAGTCGCTGAGCATGTGATGATGCCGAGTCGGCCATCAGGTCATCCCTATCCTGGTCTCCTTTACTAGGGGGACAAGCACACGACGGTCCGCTGTTGGATGCAACCCACGATGGCACATTCGACTGGGTGCCATCCGCAAAGGAACGCTCCCTTGCACCCCGTTCTCTTCTACGCGGATGTAAATCATAACTCAGCTTAAGGCAACAAGATTAGATGGAACATTTCTCGCCGTCTTCACCGCCTCCAACATCCAGGCACGCAAGGAGGCCACCACACCGGTCCCAATACCGTTTTGGGGATTGATCCAGACAGACCCGGGGTATCTGCTGGCCACCACAGTCATTAATTCTCTCAAAGTCATGTTACATGAGCATTGCCGGTAGCTTCACTCGACTACAGATGCAGACATACGTGACATGGACTCACCGATCTGCGTACCATGAAGCATCTCCCGCCCCAGCTAAGAATGAAAAGGGGGGCCAGCGCTGCTCAGCAGGCTGAAGGATTCTCAGATGCCTCTTACGTTTTGGCGCATCCCAACACCCCTCAGATACGTCGGAAATGATGTACAGTTCGGGATGCAGCGGGCGGAGGAACTTGGCAATCCGGTCTTGTCCACAATGGACTTCGTTTGGAAGTTTGAAGTGGGACAACACGACGTGATGGAAGGGAATAGCCTTAGAAACGCGAGAGTCAATGAAATGTAGAAGACCAAATAGCAGAGTCGAGATCAGCATCCCTGTAGCATCTCTCCTCCGACCATTACGCTTCTTATTCCACATTACAAGACCTTGTAACGGGCATTCTTCAAAATGTTAGTGTCACCGCATTCGATCCCCTTGCCTTCCAAAACTCCCGAGACTCCTGCATCTACGGCCCGAGTCCATTTGACATGCACTAGTGCCCACATCGCCCCTCCCCATCGCCGCATGCCGTGGATTAGGCAGCAGAATTAACAACCCGCGCTCTCCTGACCGCATACGACCCGAGGGGAGCAACGCCAGCGAATCAAGGACTTCTCTGGTATCGCTTGGAACGCCACAATTAATGGATGTGCGATGAGTTGTCGGGTTATGGCCCACCTGAAGGATGTTTCAATGGACGATGGGCCCCTATTGTCTCGTGGGAACTCCTCGAAGAAGGATCTGAGCAACAACTTTTCCTGTGGGCTCCTGCACACTCTGTCTCGTTATTGTTGTTCTTGCTATCATAGGCTCTACTGTCGTCGTTGTCGTTATCGTCGTCGCTTCTATCGTCACTTTTGTTCCTACCATCGTCGTCTCTACTACTGTCGTCCCAGAAATATGATGTTCTCAAAATAAGTAGTAACTTGCTCCAGACCGCCTTGAACCCATGTTCCTGTTTGAGGTGTCATTACTTAGCATGTAACCTTTCTAAAATAGGAGTTGCCCTCGGAAACCAGGCGGACATCTCACAAAAGCTTGACAGGGCGACACAGCCAATGTCCGTAGCAGCAGCAGCCTCCAGATATCGCGAGAAACCATATGGAATACTGCAACGTCAAACATCCCCAACGCTACCATCCCCATCTATGTCTCGATAATCCCGTCCCCAGCCCTGCAGGAATCACCCAGAAATAGCCGCCAGCTTTGGCTGGTGTTCCATCCCGCGCTCCCGCCGGCCGGCCCATCGCATCAAACAGGCGCTACCCTCATAGCCCTTCTCAACAACTCTGAGTAACATCCCCTGGTCCTCAGGCCAGGCAAGCAAATCCGGGTTTATCCCCCATCAACCCGTGACGGAGGTCCCCTCGCTGAAGCGCGGTCTAGACACTCGTCCGACTCTCCACCCCCCTCCCGCGAAACGAAACTCTATCAAGTAAAACAACGTGGCGGGTCTCCTTGGGTTTTGTGAGGGTTAAAGGAGTGTTAAGGTTGTGTCCAGACGGAGTGTTCTGGACTCGGTTGTGGTCGAGGATGAATGAAACTCGGGGCACCGGGTGGGTTCTATTCATCATCAACCGGACGTTTTCCCAAATGCTCTGGATTTCCAGTATTCGTTTCACCGGGATTGAGAACTGACACAATTCAAAAAAAGTTCGTCATTTTGTTACAGCGGCATCATGTATCCGAATCTGAACATTACTCTTCCAACGACACAGTTCATTTGGAAGACTTCTACCTAAAGTGTGCTAAGACTCACCACGGAGTTTCCTCAAGACTCCCAACGCCCTTGTAGCAACCATCGACCGCCAGACGTAGAGCGCAGACCGAGATTATGCACACAAGACCTAGCAATGCTTTTCTTCTCCCTAACTCATAGCATTCCGAGACCGACCTCCGTGGATCCACAACCAGTCTTAGTACTGCAAGTAACGTTGCCGCCAACCGGGGCATGCCTCCGCATAAACCTTCAAGCTTCACCACCGATCATGCACTAACACCAGGAACCCCTTTGCAAGTTTCCCCACAGTCCAAGACTTCACATGAGAGAAAGGTATCCCTCGGAAGGGCTGGTGAGTTTGCAGTGTCTCCTCTCGACGATCATGCGCGCAGATCATAGCAGCAGGAACAGAAGAATAAGAGTAAGGTTTTGACGGGTGTCATCCCATCAGATCCCCGTCGGCTCATGGGATGAAACGGCGAGGCCGCGCGGGGCTTCCTCGACGTGGGGGTTCCAGCCAGCATCTAAAATAGAGGTCATGTTTGAGTCAAACAGACATACTATCATGGTCACGTTGCCGTACAAGATTGAGAGTACGATATTGCGAGAGGAAAATAGAACTGCTGATTGAGTGTTCCGGCCAAGGTGCACGCTTGTCGAAGCCCAACGCGGCGGGCGCTGCAACCAGAAAGCAAATCATGCACGGAGCGTTGACGGAGAGGGAAGGCGCCCGGCAAAGTCCGTCCGGGACTCTGCAGACTAAGTGAGGTACGCGATGGCGAAGGAAGCATTGGCGCCATGAGGTGAGATGAGGCGTCTCGGTCCCGAAGACAGAATGTGGCGCTGACGGACCTCAGCTCGTTGCCTTGAGATGGGAAATTGAAGGAATGTAGTAGCCGCCTGGCAGCCGCTGGCCGCCGAAATTGATGGTAGCTGGCGCCGTGAAGGCGCGGGAGCTATGACGGCGACGGAATCCTTCTTCGGAGCATTCTCCAAAACATGACCGGAACTTGCCCTGAGACGGTGTTAGTCGATGGCGACCGAGCTGCCAGGATTTCATGACCGCCGGCCAGCTCATCGAGTAGATGGACCTGACGACACACACCCAGCCAGTCAGCCCTTACAGACCTGGTGGTCTCTCTCGATCCGACCGCGGATAACGGGTTTGTGTGGGAGAATCTGCGCCCAAAAGTTGCCCGAGTCTGGTTCCCTGGCCCATGAATCCGCGACGCTGGTGACGAGGGTTGACGATAGCGGAGGAGGGCGGAAACGTTTCAAGCTGGGCGGAAAGCCGCAACCCCCTCAGCTTTGGCTGGGCCTCGCGCCTTGTGGCGGGCTAATTCCTAGGATGTCAACCCCTCCCCTCAGCTGAGAACTCCGTGTAAGTAGGCGCACACCCTTGTTCCAGAGATGCGTCATTTGGTAGCGCTCAGAGATCTAATTCAATATTCTCCCCGACAATATAAGCGGGGATGTGGTCATATAGTAAGGCCTTCGTAGCTAATGCCGGGGTCGCCATGAATAGACCAAGGCGGAAAAAGAGAAAAGACTCCTCGGACTGTCAATTTCCCTTTTGGTGACCGGATAGTCATGGAATCGATGACTTAATGCACGAGGAATGCGAAGTGGTGTGCCACATCAATCAGACAAATTGTTGAAGCTGTTGAATTATTATGTGAGGCCGGCTGGTAGATGATCACTACCGCTGCCTGTGCCGAGCTGAGAAGCGCCGGCTGTATGGGATATATCCTCCAAAGCGACCCATCAAATACGCCAATTCACGTTCCGGACAAGTATGCTTTTCAGATCGATGTCGTGTGACCTATAATCTCCCTCCCAATCCCTATGAAACCTTCAGAATAACGCCGTGTGCCATGCTGAAATTCATCAATAAACGTCTCCAATTCCAACTCCATTCAGTTGAACAGAAAGAGCTCTTCAGATCTTGTGGTCAAAGACCGATGTAGGCGGGGGCTTGCATACTCCGTCATAGGTGAAACCAAAACACTCGGGTTGTAGACGGTGGCGCTGGTCAAGCTCATGTGAGGATCGTCGTGTTCAGAAACAGCCCAGCCTGCCGACTGCCTGTTGTTCGACTGAACTGGTGTTTGTGGCACGGCTTCTGTCGTTGCAGTAGCAGATGCATATGCAGAGGGTGTGAGCAACTCGTCCGCCAAGGGTGCCGTCTGCTGTCTCTCCCCCTGGTACCACCATTGGTCTTCGAAGCCATTGTCGACCGTCATCATGGCTGCAGAAAGGGCTTCCAATTCGTATTTCCTCCCGGGGTCTTCTCTGTCCCGAGGACGAGGGGCTGGTGTGACATTCGCCAAGGACACATCGCGAAACTTCATGGACAGTTCGGATGAGTAGTCGTCAACTTCTGAATCATCGGGCATGCCATATTCTCCAGGCCATGAAGAAGCGGACCAAGGAAGCTCATCCTCACCCAGTCGAAACCGCGAGGGAACTTCGGGGAGGGCCTTCCAGTAGTCAGGAGCGCTTGTCGTCGGTGCTCGTGGGCGTTGGCGAGGTAAAGCCGAGCTTCCCAGAGCGTCTGGTTCCGCGTCCCAGGGACTGTCGTTCCAGGGAGGAGGTGCTGAGCTACCTCGTTCATGGGACGAGCCTGATGAGCGGCTCTCTTGTCGGGACTGTCTTCTCGGTTCGAGATGGGGTGGCATTGGTGGATGTTGAGGTGGGTTCTGCTGGTGTGCGGGTGGTGAAGATCGCGTAGGCTGATAGGCTTGGTAGGTGGGCGTATTGAGGTAATTTGTAGTTGGCGGTGGTACTTGTCTAGGGAAATGCTGGGCACGATCGCGCATGCCCCTTGAGACGTAGGTAACGGAGTGTTGGTTAGGGGCATGCCTAGGTGAGAACGAGACCCCAAACTCGAAATGGACGAATATTTGGGGCCGGCGGCTCGCAGTTGACGCCATGTCGATATCGATATCGTGGTCCAGATCCAGATCCAGATGATGCAAATGATGTGGGATAGGTTCTGTCCTCCAACGGGTGGCCATGGTTGGAGGGGGACGTGAGCGGTTGATATGGGGTGAGGAGGGCGGCCGAGGAGTGGGTGCTCTAGACTCGACGGCGGTCTTGACTAGCGTGGAGGTAGAGACAAAGCGGAGATGCAGTCGGATGAGTAGTACCGCAAGTCAAGGAATGCTGGGTACGGCGAGGAGCGGTACGATGCGGTACGGAGGCAAGGAGGGAGGGTACTCGTTGTCTGCAGTTTGTGCCACGACGGGACCGAGCTTTGGGTCTGGGCGCTAGGTAGTGTCAAAGGTCTGAGGCGTGTGTTGCAATGATGGGCCGCAGATAGCGTGAGGCGAGGGGAGGTGTAAGATCAGATGCTGCGGATCATGGCTTCGTTGGACGGTTGGAAGCGGAAGACTGGTTTAGAAAAGACAGAGAGGCGGAGGCGAGGATGCCCAGACTAATAGACCATTACACGGCGTGTTGTTGTATCTGAGGAGATGGGTGAATCTGGGGTCGAGGGATCGTGGTCGTGGTCGTGGTCGTGGTCGTGGTCGAAGCAAGCAGAGCCGGGGCAAGGTGTCCGAGAGATGTGGCAGAGACAGACAGAGGGCCCCCTGTGCAATGCAGCGCTGGTGTGATGGATGGACCTGAATGAGGCGGGGAGGCGTGAGACGACGGGTAGAGGTGTGAGGCGAGGTACGTTGGTACTTTGGCTTGGTGTTGCCCTTGACGGTGGAGGGGAGGGTAGCTGAGGCAGCAGAATAAAACGCCGTGTGAGTGACCCGTATCTGTGGGTAATGACAAGTCGCTTGTGGTTAGGAGGTAATCGGGTAATAGCCGTTTGTAGTTTGCATTTCGTAGATTGTCGATTGATGCACGGCACGTCCCCAAGAGACGAAGCCGGGAGACTTGTAAGTTGGGTTGTACATATGTCCTGGAGGGCTCAAGCAACGACAGCAAGAAGGCAAGCAGTCAGTGCAATGCCGTACAGCCCCTCGGCGCCTCGTTCGTCTGGCGAGAGCTTCAGACGAACTGGACTGAGGGTCACGGGCAAGGTGTAGGTGATTCGAGATGAGCCGGGAACCACTGAATACGGCCGAACAGAGTCCAGGGAGACGGTCTCTGTTGGCTCCTCTTCTCTCCCAGACCGTGTACCCATGGTATGGTCCAGGCAAGACAGCACAGCTTGGCAGACTTCCATTGAGTAGGAGGAACGGGGCCGTAGCTAATTAGTGGGTTGACGGAAAGAAACCGTCAGGTTGCCGTTCCTGCTGCCAGCTTCGCCTCGTCGCGCGGACGGAACGAGCGAACGGACAGGCTTCTGCATGGCAGCAGCAGGTGGTCTGGAAAGTGAAAGGAAAGGAGACGGGACTGCAAAAAAGGCGGAATGGAATGGCGTGGGAGGCTTAGTTTGGCCCAGCTTACCTACCTCACCTCACCTTACCGTAGGTGGGTTGGTGGGTAGAATGTGAAGGAAGGATGGGAAACCTGGGCGGCGACCACTCTGCGGTGCTGCACTCTCACATTGCGAGTCGGTGGAGGTACGTACCTCAGTGCCCTACATTACCTTAGGTCCATAGTAGTGTCCCTCACCTGTGGGCGGGTTATCATTGGCTCCAGGCGGAATCAGTGACCTAAGGTAACTAACTAAGATACCTCACGTCAAAAGAGTTGACAATGTATCTCGTACGTTGAAAAACACAAGAAAAACAAGACCACAACCCAGGCACCTTGTCTTCGCAGTGATCACGGAGTATTGTGTGGAAGGAGAATAAAAGATGCATGGCATTGGGCCCAGGCGCGTGGAGGGCTCCAGATGGAATGCCACCAATTTGGTACTCGATACCCTGCTGCCATTGGATCTTTCGGTACCTTAGGTATGCCCAGCGGGGGTCCTCCCACTGTCTAGGGTGCCTCCAGGGGCGGTACCCTGTTTCGACTCCCGCTGCCCCCTAAACGAAATCCCCAGACCCGTTTTGGTATTCGTAGGTACCTTGGCCCAATCAATCTTTCCGTCGAGCTGCCTGCCCGGTTTTCAATTTGTCGACGACGGCCCTCATTACACACGCCGCATATTTTTGCTTCATATTCCGATATTTCATTACGATATCAAGCTATCAAGGCGACGCGACGGCGACCGCTGCTTGGGTCTCCGTGTCTCGTGCATGACCGTGTCTTTGCCCATGTCATTCGTGTTCGCATACTTAGCTACCTTGCCTAAGGTAGGCATGTATTGCCACGTTATAAATATTATACGAGCGTCATCAGACCCTTATTTGGTTGTGTAGGTACTTTGAGAAGTTGGGATACCTTACATACACAGACAGCACTGCGCACTATCAAACGACCACAAGATCAGGTAGATTGCTCAATTCGCCGTTGCCGCTGCTCAGCCTCCCTTGAGTTGCTGTCCTCTTCGGATTCCGGCAGCTGATTGATGTACGGTTGATCTATTCCGCTTTCTTGTCTACATTGGGTATACATACGTCGACAGCCGCCGCCCCGTCACATCAGATCTGGGATCCGCGTTTGACAAGACCAGACGAGACAATAAGGGTTCATAGGCACTTATCCAAGCAAGTCGTTGCTTTGCGTTGCGGCCGTGTGTCCCGACTCGTCGGCCGCGGCCGATGGTGACATTTGCCCCCCGTCCCCTCCGTTCGAATCGCCAGGTTGCAGCATGTCAATTGAACCCGCCGCCGATCAGCCCCCCCGGCGGCCGCCAATCATTCCAGAACAGAGCCCCCGCCGTGACCATGTCGCCGGCTTCGATTGGATCGCCATTCGAATTGACTCTGGCAGGCGTGCGGGACTAGTGAAACCTCCCCCATCCATCACCGCTGTGGAACCGCAGCTCGTTCATCAACTAGGCAGCCATATAAAAATCTTCCGAGGAGCACTCGTCGTCTCCTCTCCAGCAAGAGGCTCCTTTTTTCTTGCTGTAATTCCCGCCTCCGCATGCCGAAGGCCCGAACTGGGGCGGATAAGGCAAGGCAGGTTTGATAACAGTAATGGGAAATGGCTCAACCGCAGCCAAGTTGTCCATCATCTGCCGAGGAGGGGGGCCTGTTATCATGAGGTGGGCATCATCAAATCCTACGGTCTGATTTGGGGCACCAGATTCATCATGAAATTTCGGGCGTAAAATTGCACAGATGCGGTCAGCGAGTGTGCGATGACAAGACACAGATCCAGATCGAAATACGCTGCCTGGTGCTGTGCCGGAATTCCATTCTTGTACATAGTACGGATAATGGACGTTACCGCATGGAACCTTCCAAGTCGGCTTCCACAGGGTGGACCGGTCAGCACCTAAAAAAACAAACCCAGCCATCACGCCGCACACGCACGCCTGCACGCACAGCATCTGTAGCCCTGGACAGGAGATATTGATAGGAAATATTCCATAACCTGGCTATATCGTGGGTAGTGCCGTGCGGCAAGGTGCATGGAAATGAGAGCAGCTTCACCTGAGAGCCAATGACAGAAACGAGCCTGGAAGGATTGCTGTTAAATGAGCTCAGCAGGTCTAATCAGTTTGATCTTTTGTTTGCTTGGTGCCTTGCATACCGTTCCTTACGTAGGTGAGCTGCTGCTGCCAAGCTTACATAAGGCGAGAGGTCAAGCCACACCCATGAAGACTTCGCCACGGACCATCCACTGTTGGGAGAGCTATTTTTGTCCCCTTCCTACCTTAATTCGGGTGCCCGGTTTGCACTTAAAACTCCACTTTTTCCGACGTTCCCATGGAAATCCGCCCCGATCACATCCCGACAACATGGCGACTCTGAATCCATTTCGGCATCAAGCATCATGGCAACTCCGCCTTGAGATACCGCAAGCCTGGAATCCTTTCCGCCAAAGTGTCTATACAGTACTCTGGTCCACCGACCGCGACTATCGTCGGCGCTTGTAAGCCTTCGCCGGACAGACGCCGCAAGCGCGGCTCAACGCTCACGTAGGATGAGCCCTACCGGCACCGCCTCTGTTCGCTTTCCTGCCTATTTCGAGGTCCATTTCCCACCTTTTTTCTCCTTCTGCAACTCGCAATCCTCCATCTCACCCGGGATTCAGAAGACGCCAATACTGACGGTCCAGAATCCGTTTGCCTGACAGAGGACCCGCCATGATTGGCATTTTTGATCGGTTGCCTTTCGCATTGGACGTCTTAGCTCACGATCCTAGTCCACGATCAAGATCTCATCGTCCGAGCTCTGACGCCTCAGCCATGTCGCTGGGTTCTGCCATTGACGTCGTGCTTGTTTTTGCGTTCCAACACTCCGGCCCTGCAACAAGCGTCATTGTGCAGCCCTACCAGCTCCCGGAAACTCGACGACATCTGCATTGGCGAAAGCTTTGATGGCCTGATTATGCCCCCTGCGCCAAACGTGAACCTTCCAGGCCGTGCATGCGCAGCCACATTACCGTGTTGGAACTTCGGCCACGGGGGGCCAGTATCTGGAAACCTCTTTGTTCAGGCTAATTCAATCTAGAAGGGTGCCGTCTACCCTCTATTCAATTCTAAAAATTACAACCCGCTACGCCGGGCATGGGAGCAAACCCAGCCTCGCTCCAACAAGCACCCCAGCCCAAATACACCAACAGCCCGACAAACACACGACCCCCAAAGCCCATTCAGCGGCAACAACTCACACTGCGCCAGACCCCTTTCTCGTCTCTCCGCCGGCATCCGCCTCCCAGAAGCGATCTTTGCTGCGATCACGCCCCCGAAGCAGCCCTCCGAGGTCAAATGGATCAACGACCGTGAGCCAAAATGGCCGCGGGTCCTTCCATCCGGGCCCGTCAACCTCCGTAACCCCGTCCTTGGCTATGTACACCGTGTACTTTTCGGGCAGATACCTCCGCGGGTGCCGCACGTTGAACATGACCACGTTCGCCAGCATCAGACTCGCCTCAAAGACGTAAAAGAACCACTCGTACCGGATCGCGGGCGAGATGTCCTCGACCTTCATGTCTGCGTCCCATTTCGTGTTCGCAACCCCAAAGTATTCCACAATCCTATACACAGTCCTCGTCAAGATCAACAGGACGCTGATGTACAGCGTCGTCAACGGTCCAGCCACCCCCCTCGTCCTCGCGAGCCCCAGCTTCGCGCACCGCCGCTGGAACGCCGCAGTCAGGGCCACGAAGCATGCAATGACGAAGATTTGCAGCAGGAGGGAGGTCTTTATGAGGGGGTGTCCCGCCTCCATCTCCTTGTCCGACAGGGACCGGTTCGCGGAGTAGCTCGCGCCCCATCCGTTCAGCGCCTCGATGATGCTGGAGAAGAAGGCAAAGGTGCTCAAGACCCTGCCCGGGTGGAGCGGGGAGCAGTAGGGGACGTAGTAGAGGACGCGGCCGAGGATGTGGTAGTTCGCGAGCTCGAGAAGGGGCCTTGAACACACAAGTCAGTCAGGCAGTGTCTCTCATGGTAGGGGTGCCGCTTCTACTCACGGTGCCGCATAGATTAGACACACGCTCGCGATGAACGGGTTTAAGTCGTCGTAGTGATACGATCCGTAGATCCGCATCGCAAAGCCCGCCGTGAAGAGTAGACAGCAGAAGGAGAAGAGAGCCGTGACCTTGAAGAACTTGTAATGACTGCGAAGGAACCCGTCAGCTGCTAAAGAAACTCTGCGGTCGAGGAGGCCAACACCAGACATACTAGCTCTGCCAAAAGTGCATCATCCCCGACGCCAGAAAGGCGACTGCGAAAAAGATCGGCGCCCCCTTGTTCGGAGCGTAGAAGTAGTAACTCCCATCGACTACAATCTGTCAGCCCGCCAGTCTTGCAGCTGTCAGCGCTAGACATACCATAATTCCCGTCCGTCATGGTTATTCGCAAGTCTGGCTCTATCGAGCAGTCAATCATGAAAAAGGCAGAAACAAGTCGTGAAATATCGAAGCAACTCATCTCAAGCTCATGCCCAAATATATATATGTATATATATATATATATATATACATGCAAACAACACACCCTCCGAGAAGCCTCATCGTCAGTCCAGCCCCATCTGCCAATCCCACACAAACCCGAGGAATACGGTCTCAATCAGCCTTACACCCTTCCCGACCAATCGCATCGCTCCCTCAAATATGATTCACCAAGCCGGCATCAGAGATGACCCGAACCCAAGACACGTCCCTCAAGTATCCTTTCCTCTCATTCGCTTTCCTTTCAGAAAGCCAGCCACTAGTGCAGAGAGCGTGCATACTTCTTCTGCCCTTTAACCAGTGAGGTCGTGGTCGGCACAGCCGCTGGGGACAGCACGCGGCGCATCATCGTCGTATCTCGCATTGGTCTAAGAGAGAAAAGCCACACGCCCTGGGATTGAGAGCGTCTGGGAGGTGTACCCGACGACCGCATTTGATAGGGCACCTTTTGCATGGATTTGTTGCGTCGAGTGTGTTGTTAAAAGCCACCGTCTTCGTTCAAGGACCATTCAAGATGAAGCTCTCCCGTCGGTACAGCCGAGCTGGATTTTGCTGATACAGCTTTTCGCTGAACGATTCGTCCAGACACGACCGAAGCTCACGCGAACGTAGAATGTAATCTTGATTGGTACCTGATGGAATCTCTGTCCCAACTAAATGCTGCATGTTGCAAAAGCAGACGAAACAAGAACCCAATACCTCCGTGTCCCAGGCAACTAGTATTTGTATATCAAAACAGACCGGCCCAATGGACCATGACATGCCGGCCGCAGCCTGGCACCAATCGGCGGATCCGACATATGAAGTCCCGAGTTTCCCCAGATATCCAAGGCCCGCCCGCGCGGAGCCTCATTACGCAAACGCCGCAAAAGGTTTCCATCCTAGGTGCAGTCCCTAGTGGTTAAACATACAGTGGTCATACATGAACTCATTAAAGACTTTTTTGCCTTTGTAGGCTTTAGTCAACTTCCCAACCGCGGCCCATTCCGTCCGCGTTGTCGTCCGCCATGCGGTCGTCGTAGTCGCTGTCGCCTACCACACTGTTCGCGCGCGATGACTCAACTTGACTGAGGTAGTAATCATCATCTTCTCCCCAACTGCTATACTCGTCATCTGAGTAGTCCCATTGCACAGGAATGGTCTCGCCGCCCTCGCCGAACCCAAACATCATACCGCGCCATTCTCCAGCAGCGATCTTGGCAGCCACTTGGAGCATCAGAGTGATCAAATGGGCGGGTGGGCCCAGCAGAACTTCGCAGGTCTTGGAAACAATAGCCATGGGAATCCTGCGGACAATGTCGAGCCGGCTGCGGAGGAATGGCTGCCGTCTGGTGGCAGTAGTCGTAGACGCGAAAAGGTTGGCCGCTGACGGCAAGGTGGCCAGGGCTGTGCGACCGACCGAGATGCTGCTAGTTGTTGCCCGGTGTCGCATGTATGGGCGGCGAGTAACGGCTGTTGTGACGGCTTCATCCTCAGAAAGAGCAACCTTGTCGGGTTGCCCTGCAACTTCGGATGGGATATCCGGTGCTGTTGCAGCGCTCTCTTGAGAGCTGTCATCCGTGAGGCAAGACGTCGCGTCCCAAGTGCGTCTAGTCTCGGGAGTGACTGTCATGTCAGAGATGTCGCGATAATGCCATGGCTTCTTGGGAATCAATATGTTGTCGTGCGGATACGGGAATCTCGTGGGTGAGACTTCCGATGCAGGTGACCGTGGGATCGGAGTCACGGGCGAGTGCCACGACTTCACACTATGAAACGAGTCGGATGAGTCTGTCGGTGACACCGGTTCCTTCGCATCGTCCTGCTCCTCCAGAATAGGGGTTTGTCTCATTGCTGACTTTGACGGCGGCGAGGTGACGAGAGTCAGCTGGGGAGGGACAAGAGCGCGACCTTTTCTAAAGCTGCGCAACTTCTTCCGTCTGCCAACGCCAACACCGTTGCCTTCGAGAACCTCGCCATCAGTTCCAGAAGAAGACTCTCGGCCCGATCCAGATCCAGTATCACTGCCATTGCCTGTCTCCGCCTGAGGCTGTACCTCGACAACCTTGACCTCTTCAATAGGCGCTGTTAACGAAGGAGCTGCGGCCAACTTCTGCTCGTAATTACGAATCACATCGTAGATATTCGTAGGCGTCGGCGTGCCGACTTCAAATGAAGATGGGGACCTTGGGGTCGCCCGAACGGTAACCAACTGCTCTTTAATCTGAGGTTCAGCGGTCGGGCTCGATGACGATCTCGAGTGTCCTGGAATCATTAATTTGCTAGCACGTTTCTCCGCGCCGTCCTTGTCGACAGGAGACATTGGCACGTCTTCCTCGGCCTCATGCGATGCTTCTTCGATCTTGTTTTGCATTTGAGGACTGCTAGTACCTTCCTTGAACAGTAAGGGGTCCAGTGCGGCAATGGCAAAGGCGGTGGTGGGGCGAGTTGTCTCCATTTGCTCCTCCAATTCTTGCAGCTGGGCCGCCTTGTCCTTCTCATTATCCGAGTTCAGGGATTCCTCGGCCTGGGATTCCTCGGCCTGGGAACCGCCTTCGGACCGCTTTTGGACTTGTAGTTCGAAAGGTGCCATTCCTGTCTCCTTGGGCTCTGTCAATGAGCCTCCTGAGGCAGTGGCTTCGGGGCCTGACTCAACGCGGCTCTTCTCCGACTGAGGATTTGAGGCATCTTCCGCCTTGATCTTCTCAGCAAAGAACCGACGACTTTTTTCGGCATTTGTGATGGTTTCTGTAGCAGATGCACTGGTCTGAGTCTTTTCCTCCTCAATCGCAGATTCGCTCACGAGTCTCTGTTCTCGGGGCGGCTCGGCAGACCGCGATGTCTCGGTGCTGGTTCCTCGCGATTCAGAGCTTGACTGAAACTCGGTGCCAATAACAGAAAAACGACGCAGTTCTGTTCGGCCTCTAACGCTGAGGGATGCCGAAGCCCTCCTCTGAGTCTTGGGTGTGAGAGCCTTGGGCTGCGTGGGCGATATCTCATGGGTTGGCAGGGAAAGGACAGGCAGAGCACCCTTGACAGGAGGCGTCCATGGACGCTTTTTCACTGGCGTCTTTGGCTTCTCGGGGAGTGCAACGGTAAATGACCGCTTGAAGGGGCACTCTGTCTTTTCGAACTGCAATATCTGCGCGAGCACAACCTTGAAAGCTGCAGCTAATTCTTGCTCGGTAGGATTGGTGACCGGGATCTCTATTCTCCAATAGTTGGGTCGACGTATTTGCAAGACAAACTTGCTCGAGTCTTCTTCCAAAGCCCAGCATTGGCTCTTGGGAAGCATTGGCTGCAGGGCGGAGCCACAGTTGAGAAAAGCCACGGAGCCAGTGCGATATATGCGAAATGGACCTGGACGCACAAGTGTCAGCGAATGATGTGAGTCTTGGAGAGATATCGGCCGGACTGACCGATTGCAATCGTCCTCTCTAACTGCGAATACGGCGACAGAGTGCCAGGTTCGTCTGCGCGGCCACGGCCGGGACTCCGAGCGCGGCCTCTGGAGGCAGCAGAGAACGCGACAATCTTGACATTGGGATGGTTGTATAATGTCTCGACGAGACCACCGACTGAAGCAGATCGAGGGGCGGGTACGGGAGACGTCGTTATCGGGGCTGTCGCGACACGGCGAGGGGCCGGGTAGTTGTTGCGGAGGGACTCCATTGTGGTGTCCCTGGATAAGGGTAAGAGAGAGTGGACGGCGTCAATCGTAGCTGATGGCTCCGTCACGTAAGGGCAGATTTGGTCAGCTGATGCGAGGGAACGAGGGCGAAGAGTCGGCCTTGGGTCATGTCGATAGCGGGTTCGGGGACATGGCAGGCTCCCGGGGATCTCTTGATTTTTCCGTGCCGCTTTGTTGCTCGCAATCTCCGTTACGTTCGTCGCAGCGTCTGTCTTGCTTTCACGAGGAAGAGATGTGATGGCAAGGGGCAGAAAGAAGAGGGAATTCGAGGAATCCGATCGGCGGGCGGGAGTTACCTTAGAGAAGGAAGGTAGCGGCGCGGGTGTCGATTGGCGGGCGGCGTGGGCAGGCAAGATACGGCAAAGGTAAGGTAGGTTAGGTTAGGATAGGTAAGGTAGGTATGAAAGAGAGGGACAGAATTAGAATTAAGGACCCCTTCCGAGCCGACAAGATCGATAGTTATGCGATGTCTTGCGCGGGTCTCACTCAGCAGCCGTCCAACCTCTGCTGCAGTGCTTCAGACGAAGAAGAAACCACTCTTGCAGCAAAATGCAACGAGACAACCCCACGAATCGAAGACGAGAGGACACTGAAAAGGAAAAAAAAGGTTTTTGGATTGGTGAATGGACTGAGGACGGTTGGGGAAACAAGCAAGGCTATGCCAGGGTGCAGCACAACCTGGAAAGAAGCTTGGACGGATTTGCTCATGGTTCGACCAGGGGGCGGTAGTGTCACGGCTTCCTGGGGACTCGTTCGACGCACCACGCGCCGCCGGGGGGGTTCTGACGCTGCCGGTTTCCTGCCAATGCCTACCACAGCGCGTCTCTGTTTGATCCCCTTGCTCTTATTTGCGACTGCTGTGCAAGACCCTTACGATCTGCGCTGCCATTGGGCACGAACCGCAGAAACACTCGATTCCAGTCGTCCGGGACAGGACTCAAGACATACGATCTTTTGCCAGACGGGCCACGGGCGTGGCCATTCATTCACATGTTGTGTCTCTTGTTCCCGGTTGAGATTGAATGATCCTCTAGGATATGCCATGCCCCTTTCTAACTGCCACTTGTGCTTGGTAGGTACCTTAAGGGGTATGATGCATCCCACCTCACCTAAGGTACCTAGTTTAAGGTACCTCTTGTGCGCAACGGACGCAAGCCATTGCACTAATCAACCAACAGCGCGTCTCGTGATGGTGCCCGGCCCCTCTGCATCTCGTCAACCGTCAACGT